CTTCCTTCGGCTGCTCTCCATATTTCATCAGCTAATTGAATATTGACTCTCTTCAACTGCCAAGAAAATGTGTAGCTCAAAATCTGGCTGCAATCGATCACTGATTCATTTCATGAAACAGAACAGTTAGTTCAGCTCCTAAAGAGCTTTGTGCCCAATGTTTTTTTTTCCCCTTGGTTATCGTTGGTAGCTGATGCCTTACTTGGCTGCAGTTTTGTTTTGTGATTGATCCAGACAAACTGACTTTGGTCCTTATGCCTAAAGAACTTGGATGCCAGGAACCATAGAATTACATTGAATGATGTGGCATCGAATCACACCATTCGGCTCAACTGTTCTGTACCAGAATTGATTGTCGGCCAAGAATTCTCCAGAACTCGCTGCGTGCAAAATGCGTTTGGAGACGTTTCTTACTGGGTGGGGAGGGGTTGGGGGGGCAGGAGGAGTTCTTAAATCTCTCTTCCCCCGCGCCCCCAAAAAACCTTGGCGCGGGACAATGAGGGGTTTGCACCCGAGCTGCGGATTGGATTCAGAGAGGGGTAGAGAGAAGATGATCGAAGGCACGGTCGAAAAGGAAGGTCTTGAAGGAGGCGAGGTGTTGGGGGGAGGAGGGGGGGCGATTGCGGAGGGTCTCAGCCCACAGGGCGAGATGACGTTTTCAATGTAATTCTATGGTCCTGGCACCTAAGTTCTTTAGGCATAAGGCAGAGGGAGCACGCAGGATGGCGAAGTTTTAATAAGTAGCGGAGGTTGTGAGGAGCAAAACTATGGAGGGCTTTAAAGCTGAGGACGGGGACGTTGATCTTGATCCTCGGTGGGAGCCGGTGAAGCTGGTGAAGCTGGGTGGCAACGGTGTCTTGAAAGCTATCCTAAGTGAAGTATTTATTGAGGGTCATGCTGCTTGAACCTCCCATTAGAGAGAGAGAGAGAGAGAGAGGCAGTATTCCATGTATTAGAGAAAGAGAGAGAGAGAGGAGACAGTATTCCACAGTTAAATGACAGCCTCTGTGAATCTTGATTGGGAGACTCTGCGAGGTTACTAGGTTGCTAGGTTTTTTAATGGTCTCTCCGAACAACTGATTATACCCCCTGGACAGACGCTGCCAAAAGCTTTGTGCACCTGTGCCAGCTTCATCTGAGCCGGGCTTCCCCGCTAAGCTTTGAAAACCCATTTATATATAATTTAAGCAATTAAGGAAACCTAACGTTAAGAGCTGAGCAGGGGACCGGAGAAATTGGCTGGAGCTTGTGACTGAGTCGTGGACCCGAAAGGTTGACTCACTTTTCCTCTCTCCATAGATGCTGCCTGACCTGCCGAGTGTTCCCAGCGACTTCTAGATATGCGTGGAGTTT